GTTGAGCCTTAAATTCGCTCTCAAAGCTCTCTCCCTATCCTTCTAAGAGTTTAGAAAAAAAATGAGAAAAAATCATTTTAATTCTAAGTTTCTGACTATTTATAAAGTTCTCGCGCTTTTGGCATAATCACTTTTTGTAGAAAAAAGTGATTACACACATTGTTTTCTGATACAAGTACCTCTGAAACCTTCACCCTTAGCGTTAAAACCACACTTAGCATAGTTTTCATAAATGAGCTTGTGCGTAACCACTCTTGTTCTTCAAAGTAACCACACAAAACATAATTTCCACAATAAGCTTGCACATAAATACTTTTGGTAGAGAAAGTGATCACATGCATTAGGATTCTCCTAAAAGACCTCTAGAACGTTCACTTCTATTTCTGAAAGTGGCTACCCACAAAATGCACCACCTTAGAAGGCCTTCAAAGTGATTACTCTCACCATACAAAGTGGTCACTTACAAGCTTAAGGAGAGATTCTTTAATGGAACAATCACTTTTGGTCCAAAAAGTAACTTCACTCAACTTCAATTGACCTCTTAGCCTATAGAATGTTCACTTTCTACACTAAAAATAATTACTTTGAACTAACTTTAAATGTTCATAACTTCTAAGTTTGAAATTCAAATTTTACAAATAATATATCAAATTAAAGCTCTATAAATCAACAATTTATAGAAATATAAATCTCCTTAAAGTTTTTACCTCAAGAACCGATATGGCAAAAATGGTGAATAGAGGTTTGAATATTCAAAGTGATGAAATTAAGGAGACTTTTCTAATAAAGCTCAATTAAAGAAGTTTAGATTAAAATAGCAAATATTAATCAATCAAGCACAATTAAAAACTCATAAAGAAACCTAAAAGTATGAGATAAAAATATTAGTCATCGGTACACCCTTTCAAATTTAAAGGTACTTAACAAACAACATATTATATTCATAATAAATATTCATAATATTTTTGTTATTTTTTTTTTTACATAGTTGATATTATTTTATTTTTGTATTTTTTTTATTTTTCTTTGAAGTTATAAGAACTGTCGTGAAAAATTTGATGTGAGGGTAGCTTTTCTCATCCATGCAAATCACGACGATGGTGTGTTCAAAATGATGATCGCGTATACAATGAAATCATTCAGGTGGACAAATCTTGGAGGAAATTAGGTTTGACATGGAGTCAGCGAGCAAAGAGACAGCAGAGAACCTCTCGCAGCAACCTAGAGAGGGGAAAATGTATTCAGCTTTGGCGACAAATGTGATAACAAACTTGAAAGAAATCGAAGCGCTTCATGGGAACGAGAATGTGCAGGACATGATTGAAAAGGCGCTTGTGATAGCCGATGCAGCATCTCTATTGACCATATCTGGAAAATCAACTGATGAGATTGAATCCGTGGGTCAATTTGCTAAAAAATCGGCAATTTTGTTGCAGATGGCTTTAGCACTAGCAGGCGAAGGTGCATCGATTCTTGCAGGGACCATAACCAACTTACAGTCCATTAACTTTGACCAATAATCAACGCACTGTTTGGTAGGAAACATGTTATCCAAATTAAAAATCGATACATGTTGTTGTGTTTTCTGTACTGTTGCTTCCTACATTTGTGGTCTGTACTGTTTCACAAAATAAATAAAAAACGACTAATGGGAGGTGGCCATAGTCTGTTTCAAAAGTAAGATGTAATTCGGTGTTAAAATGTCTTACATTAAGTAAAATTCGAGTTGGAATACCCTTTGTAAATATTAGAATAATATTCTTTTTGTGAGCTAGCTTTTTTGTGAATGATTTAAACTTAAATTTTTTAATATTGGCTATGGGTGTGATGTATGGATTAGAGCCGTCTTCTTTTACAATTTTTTTTATGTGATATATATATATATATATATATATATATATATATATATAATTTTTATAAAAATTAGTTGTATGTGTATTATTAATTATTTTAGAATGAAATGAAATTAAATGTAATGTCCGAATTAATAGAAATAAGGATAAAATAAATTAGACAGATTAGAATATAATACGTGAAGACTTTTGAATCTTATATCAATAAAAAAAATACATTGTACAACTCATGATTAGTGATGGAAATAGGCTTGGATATTCTCGAATTAGCCATGCGTGGAAGATTACTCCTATTACATAATTCACACACGAAGAGAACCCGTGCATACTCTCGTATGAGTGAAATTCGTTGTGTTAGCACTCCTAATTTCGCTGTATATAAGCGAAATCCAAGTACGGGAATTTTCTTCAGTTGTGCTACTTCTGCCACGGCTATTTTCTGGTTAACGGGTACGATGAATAGGGTTCATTAACTGCGTGTATGGAAGTTACCTTGGGCCGAACAATGAGAACGCGCTTTTGTTTTATTTAAAAGTTGACGCGACTTTTTCCAAATACGCGTTTAGGAACCATCCTAGCCTAGTTACTTTTAAAAAAAATAAGGGGGTAACCTTAATATTAAGGTTAGAAAATATTAAAACCAAAAAGACAAATACAACGAGGATTGCATGAATTTAAAAAGGCAAACGATAAGAAAAATTCAGAAAAAAAAGAAAAAAGAAATATTCTAGATCACAATTAAGTATTCTAACTCATAGAAAAACTACTTTAGTTAAATTATTAGGAAAATGTATTTTATACAATTAAAGTGTGACCACTTTTAATGTCTAGCTCTTTTAATTTTAAGCAATATCTTTAAGATACATGTCAAAACAATTTTGTGTTAGAAACAAAAAGATTTGAAGTGAACCAACAGATGAACTTTCCCTGGGCTCCCAAAAGTAAATTTCAAATAACGCGTGGAGAAAACAAGTTAGAAAAAGGAAAGGGGTTAATATTAATTTTAAAGTTGAAAATTATTAAATAATTAAGAAGAAAGACATCGACAATGACGATTGCTAAAAGATTAAAAAAAATTATTTGAAAACAAACAAGTAACTTTTAAAGTACGTTACAGCTCATATAAATGACATTTATTAATTAAACTGTATATTTAATAATTTATAATTTATATTTCTTATAAATTAATTTTGACATTAAAAAATTATATTTTAATTTTTTGAGTATTTTTTATGTTTTAATTCCTACGATTATGTTACAAAGGTAGAGATTAAAATGTAAAAATTACTTATATATGAACTAGAACATAATTTATTTTAAATATAAAAATTAATTTATAAACAAGTATTAATTATAAAGGTAAAATATATATTTTAATTAAAATTAAAAAAGAATTAATAAACTTATTTTTAAAAATTAAAAATAATATACCAAATAAAAATAAATAAATTTTTATAAAACTAAAAAGTTCGTATTTAACTCAAAAAATCATTATATGGTTCAAAATTATACATTGACTAATAAAGAATTTATTGATTTAATGAATTTTGTATCATAATAATAAATATTTTATTTTGTATCATAATTATTTTTTAAAGATTCTATAGAGATTGATATATCTTAAAAAATTATATTATACATAAATTGAAATATTTATATAATAAAAAATTATAATAAAAATGTTAAGTTGATATTTTATTCATTTATTTAAAAGTAGGATAAAATATAAAAATATAAAATTAAGTAAAAATTTTATTAGTTAAGAATGAGTGTTTTATAAAAATAAAAATGAGTAATAATATATTATTTTTAACTGATTTTAGTGTTATATATTATTTTTAAATTATAACTATTAGAAGACAAAAATATGATATAAATAATTATGTAAAGATTAAACTATAACTTTTTAAGTATAAAAGAAAATTAACAAATTAGTATTAATTTACAGAAATTAAATTTACAATTTAACTTAAACTACTACATCTAGACTTATATTAAATTTTTCGTTGGTATGAATGGTTTTGGGAAAAATAAATTGTCTTTCTTTTATATTAAATAATTGCGTTTTTAAAATTTTCTTTACTATATATGAAAACATCTTTTGGGAAACAAGTAATAGAGTTTAGAGGAGTTTTAAAACAGAGAAGATGTTGGACGTCGGAAATCAAGACAAATAAGTTGAAATTTTGTGATTTTGAAAAAACTTTTCTTTAACAGAAGAAAAAAATTAGACAACTAAGATGTTAATCAATCTTTTGAATACACAACTATGTTCCATTGGTCAACCAGTTAGTTCAGACAGCATAGAAAACAGCGAAAGAAAACAAATATTCGAGTTTTCATAATAGTTAAACCTCAACAATGTTAATTACATTAAAAGTAAAATTGTACAACAAATCACTGAAATTTCACACCGACCAAAATATTCTTCTCGATTAGTAACTTTTTGCTCCGCTGGTATAACAAAAGTGCGATTTCATTTTTTTAAATAACAAACTTAGAAAGTACTAAAATATTTGACATAATATTCTACTGAAATATTAATGCTAAATTTAAAAAGTCATTTGGAGAGACGTCGCTCTCCGGTACATGGTACCCATGCAATGTTGGGTTGGCAAATGTTGAAGATGCTGAAAGCATTAACATCTATTTTACTCAAAAGTCGCACTTTTATTCTTCCCTCGTTTCTATAATTACAACCCCATATTTGATTTCTTTATTTTGAAGTCAACCTCATATTTGATTTCAAATTCCTTCGTTCATATTGATTATTGATCTTTATTATTTCAAGAAGAACTTCTGATTTAATTAAGAAAATGGGAAACTTCCGCACATGTCTGGCTCACAAAATGCTAATGCTATCCTTTTTAATTTACTGTTTTGGAATTTCAAATTGTTTAATGAACACCTTTATTTCAATAATGTGGGTCAATTTTTTAATGAAAACTTTTATAACAAATTATTAAGATAAAACTTTAATTTTAATCAAAGAAACTTGAGATATTACCCTGGTAAGGTTCAAACTGGATCATTCTCCATTATCAGTCTATATCTTTCCTTTCCGTTTGATTCATTTTGTGCTCAATTCAAGTCATAGCTCACTGACGTAACTATACTACACATTAATCTAATAAAATTCTATTCAAGATGCAACCTGACTTAAGTTGGTTGATCCCAGTTGAAGTGATGTTGGGTTCTCTCACTCACGGAGAAATTCAACTATGCAGCATTTTCAGCGTTCCGGATGAGATTAGAGCCACAAAAGAAGACGCTTTCAAGCCAAAGGTGGTTTCAATAGGACCCTTACACAGAGGAACCACAAGGCACCTCCAATTAATGGAAGGACCCAAAATGCTTTACATGCGCGAGTTTCTCGAGCGTAGAGGAATCGCAGAGGAAACCAGTAGAGGATTGCAGTCAAGTTTAGAAGACTGTGGCACCGAAATTCTAAAATTGGATAAAGCGATCATCGCAAGCTATGGTGGTAACATCCAATTAGAATCTCACGAATTGGCTAAAATAATGATAGTAGATGGTTGCTTTTTGTTGGAGTTTCTTCTCAGACTCGGCAATTATATGGAATCACCAGAGTATCATAAGAGAAACTATTCAGACGACCCAATATTTAAAACCGAGGAGAAAATCGTGTCTATTGTGAATGACATTACAATGCTTGAGAACCAAATACCCTTCATTGTTCTCAAAACGTTATATAGAAAGGTCTTTCCTCACCCTAATGGGACTACAATCCAAAATGATTACTCTGTTGCTAATATTGTGCGCAAAGCCTTTGGTTACTATGAGGTGGATAAAGTAGAAGGCGCTCATGTACTTCACACGATGCACATGTCGTCTATTAAGCAGAACCAGGAAGAGGGTAAACGAGCGAAGCAGGAACTATTGCGTTGCGCAACAAGGCTTCGAGCCTTGGGAATAACAATCAGAGCTGCAAACGACACGCGTCCGCATAGTTTAAATGATTGTTTGGACTTTAACATAAATTTTAGTTACGGGGAGCTGCGAATCCCGTCGTTGAGTATTAAGGAAACGACAGAGGTGAGGTGGCGGAATTTGATTGCTTGGGAGCAGAGCGAAATTTGGATAAGATGTAAATACACGTCGTATGGTCTATTCTTTCAAGGTTTGATATGTTGTAAGCATGACATTGAGATGCTTTTGGAGAAGAAAGTTATAGTAAACGAGGCGAATAAGAGCATGGATGATTTGCTAAGACTATTTCGCACAATCTGCAAGGGTGCTGAGCGAATGGATTCGAGCTATAGCGAGCTTTGTAGATTGTTGAACGTGTACAATGGCAAGAAAGGAACAACGGCATTGCGAGGATTGCCTATAGTCACTTGGCATCGGTGGAGACGTGTGTTTGAGATGCTGTTGTACTGTTGGGGGAATTGGTATAGAATGTTGATTCGCGATCATATACCCACAGTGTGGAAATTCATTGGAGTGCTTGCAGCTGTTGCGCTTCTTGTTCTCACAGTTATGCAGACCTATTACTCATCCCGCAGCACTGGCAGCGGTTAATTAATTTTAATTTTCTTTTTTAATTTCAGCGACTTTACATTTGCTGCGTTGTGAAGTACAATCAAACGTACTACCTTAGTTTAATTTGAGAAAAGAAAAGGACTCCATAATGTTTGAGGAGTCGTAGAATCATGTATTTTGTATTTCGCTTCTACCGTACGAATGAATAAGTGAAATCTTGATTTTTGTACTGGCCAAAACCATGTAACGTTAATTTTCCTTTATTATAGTACTTATTTTATCTATTATTTTTTTTCTTTTTTATTTATCTCTTAAATTACAAAATTTTTATTTTCTAAAAAATGTGTTATTCTACAAAAAAAAAAAATATTAATGAAAGAAATATTTAAAAAATATTTTAAAAAATATCTCAAGAACCAACAAAAATTATATATATATATGAATTAAGATTTATTGATACAAGTTGCCAAACTTGTATGTTTATATTATATAATAAATTTTTATAGAATAGGAGATTATTCAATCCAACCCTAGTTTTGATGGTTATTTATTGACAAATATATTTGTTAAAAAAAATTTAAAATATATTTTTAAAATATTGTCTAAGAAGAATTATTCCAAGTACTAAGAATATCTTAATATAATTATTTAAACTTAAAAGATGTAAAATAAAATAAAATAAGAATTTAAATATAAAAAATAATTAAAAATAATTAAAACAACACAATCTTTGACAATAAACTAATTGAGAAGAACCTTATGGTATATGGTTTCACCATTACACTTATCGATGTTTACTTTTATATTAATTTAAATTTTAATTTTCTTATAATTATCAATCACTCATACTAATTCTATTAACACTCAATACTCATGCAATGTTAACAATTTTTTTCTTAAACTATTATCCCCAATGATGTTAGAAACTTTAAGATGCTGAATAGAACTTACTTAATGAAGTTGTGGTGGAGGTTAATTACTTCTCCAAATGCTCTGTGGGCCTAGGTTTTTAGTAGTACATACAAATTTATGCTTGGTAAAAAACCTAATCTTAAGAAGAGTTACTAGTTTTCTCATCTTTAGACAGGTTTAGTTTTTTGTTTGGATTGATAATTAGAACTTTCAGTTCCCTAAGTTATTTGATCTCACTTGGCAGCATGTGCCGAAAATTGATTTGGATCTTCTTGTGCCCCCCTCCCCCCCCCCCCCGTTTTTTTTTTCCTCTAATAGTACTTGGGATTAGGTCAAAATAATCAAATTATTTGTCAGACTATAGACCTTATCATTCCTCCTGCTAGATCTAAAAGGTCTAGACTTAGTATTCTGGAATAGAACAAATAAGGGTATTTTCTCTCTTAAGTCAGCTTATTAGCTTCTATATGAGTGTGACCATGATCATATTTGTAGCCTTTTTTCTTTGAAAAGTGGGTCACGAGAAGCTTCTTACTAATGAGTTGAGGTGTAAAAGAAGCATGACTAATTCTCCTATCTGTCCTAGATGTGAGGATGTCCCTGAAACTGTTATGCATATTCTTAAAGACTATTTTTTTATGCTAAAATAATATGAAAATACTTTATTTTTCCTCAGTAATAAGTGTCTTTTTTTAGTACAAGACTTTTGGATTGGTTGGTTTTTAATTTATGTTATCAAAACTGTAGTAAATATTTTGATTGGCACAATTTTTGGAATCATTGTGTGGTATTTATGGAAAGATATTAATACTTTTATTTTTTAAAACTCTTCAATCTAACCTAATTATCTTATTCACAAAATATGGTGTGATTTTCATTAGATATTTTCTTGATGTATGGGTAATCCAAACTACCTTCCTAAGCTAGTGTATGACCATACTAAAGTTAAGTGGATGTCCCCTTTTCATGGTCATGTGAGGCTGAATATGGATGGTGCTATCTCTATGTCTCATGGTGGAGCTACTTGTGGAGGCTTAAACTAATTTTTAGCCCATTTTTGCAGCAAATTTAGCTATTATCCTCCTCTTGAAGTTAAACTTTGGGGCATTTTTTATGGGGTTAGCTTGCTATAATGAGAGGTTACCATATTATTTAAATTGAGAGTGATTGTAAGGAAGTTGTTTGTTTAATTTCAAATGTTCAATCTCATTTTCATCTTTTGCTTGAAGTGCTTAAGAAAATTAGGAACTCATTAAGATGTATTAAATTCGTTAGACTTGGTCATATTTGTAGGAACACCAGTCAATGTGCTAATAGTTTAGATAAATTAGGCTTAAAGAAGTACAGAAATATTCATCAGTTGTTCATCGACTACGCCTTTCGGCCTGATCTTAGGTCCTGACTCACCCTATGAGAATGAACCTTGCAGAGGAATCCTTAAATTTTCAAGGCATTGGATTCTTACCAATGTTTGTGTTACTCAAGCCGACATTCTCGCTTCTGCTTTGTCCACCACTGCTTGTGCGGGTCCTTCCTTGGCTAAACACACCCCTACCGATTCATTTTTACATCTCACAGCTTCGGCAGATCGCTTAGTCCCGTTCATCTTTGGCTTTTTTTTCTTATTTTTTTGAGGCCCTTCCCACCATGCTTCCTTTTTTGTGCCTTAATGCTTTAGCCATTTGAACTTAGTTTCTTTATAGTTTATTTTGAGTTGTTTAATCCTTTTTAATAGAAAAAATGACAAAATTAAATATTTTTATCTATTATAATGGATAAAAAAATAATATGTACTTTATTTTTATTTTTTTTGTTATAAACAAGGCAAAAGCCCAAAAACAAACAAAATTAGACATTAGGCCTAAACTACAAAGTTCCTAAAGAATCCAGCCGTAAGAAAGGTTCAAGGGAGGAAGGAGCCATTCAAAAACAGCATATGGCAAACCAAAATCAAGGTCTAACTTAGCCAACCGGTCACTACTAGAGGTGTCAATTCTGCCCCAAGTCCACAAGTCCTCTCACACAACCTACTCTACATCCCCATTTTTTAAACTCCATACATAGTAGGTTTACTCATCCTTAAGCCCTAATATATAACAAAATGTGAGATATGGTTTGGGTCAAAGGTGAGTTAGCCTACACTTTTTTAAAAAGTAATTAATGAATATTGTACTATTTTTTTAAATAAAAGGAACATGCATTATTTATCATTTTTATTAATATTTTATTTAAAATTAATAAAAATATTTTTTAAATATAAAAAATATATTTTAAAAATAAAAAATTCTATCAATCTAAGATTAACCAAAATTTAAAATTACAAATATTTATTAATTTTTGCTAAGTTTATAAGTTACTTTTCTGTATCAATAAATATTGCAATATTAAGTATCATTTGTCTACAATTTTTGTAATAAGAATATTATATTTATTTTTTAACACATTAAATTTTATTTAAATAAATTATTTCAAGCATTTTCATAATATATGACTTAACACATTTTGCTATTGTTATTTTTTTATTGCCAGTTTTGTATTTCTACTGTAACTTTAACAATATTCATTGAACACATAATCTTCTTAAAATAATTTTATAAAAATAAATAAATAAACATATTTTTTATAGAATAATTAATAAATATTTAATAAAAGACACATGCATTTATTTATTATGTTTATTAAATTATTTTATTTTAAATTATATTTTTTAAATTTTTAAGCATTTATTAATTTTTGCTAAGTTCATAAATTACTTTTCTGCATTCATGAATTTAGTAATATTAAGTATCACATGTCTATGATTTTCACAATGACAATATTATATTTATATTTTTTGAACACATAAATTTTATTTAAATAAATAATTTCACATTTTGATAATTTAATAACAAATGACTTAATAAATTTAACTAATATTATTTTTTGTGGTTAATTTTGTATCTTTATTGTAACTTTAAAAATATTTATTGAACATGTTATGCTTTTAAGATAATTTTATAAAAATAAATAAATAAAATATAATAGTATAAAAAGATTTTAAAGTATGACAAATTTTATGATTAATACTCAAATAAAATTATAAAATAACATATTAAGAAATTTTATAATCAATAATTTTTTTAAAATTAGTTAGCCTATAGTTTAGCCTTAACCCACTTAATCTCATGGGCTTTTAGGCCCTATAGGCTTTTTCACCCAATGGGCCTTTTGGCCTTGGCCCACATGAGTTAGGGCTAAATTAATTAAGGCTAGCCCATTTGACATCTTAGCTTCTTTAAATACATGGTTAATTTTAACAAATTTAATATTTTTAAGGAGATCCCTAATATTCTTAATAATAGAGTAAAAGGATGGACACTTTTCTGAATAATAACCACTAAGAATATAGCCTCTTTTAAATCACATTCTATCCAAACCACTTGGAACTTCATGGCTATAACCAACTATAAACCCCAAAAAAGACATCTGAGTTCTACTGCAGTGGGATGATAGAATTCCAAAGTATTGTGGAAGTCAGTAATGAAATTCCTTTTATTGTTTTTGATCAAGCTACTGCAACTAGTAAGCTTCTTATCCTAAGCCACATCCCCATCAATGTTAAGTTTAAACTGATTCTCCAAGGGAGGCTGCCACTTCACCATTCGAGTAAAGCCACCACCAGTAGTCGAAAGCCAAGGATCAGATTTGCAAATAAAAGAAAGTAATCAATATCAGAAAAAAAAATTTATTTAACAAATCTCTACTATTTAGATGATTGTCCAGGTAGATAGTCTTATTTCTAGTATGCCAGAAGTTTTAAGTGACAACTCCAAAGACATTATTCCAGAGAAGGTACAGAGGAAAGTGATTTTTAAAAAGATTAAAATCCAGCCACCTAGACAACCCTAAACTAAAGAACGTGGACCACTTATCAAGAGGAAGGATTTGACTCCATATACTATTAGCAACCCAACAATCTTTGAGCATATGGGATATTATCTCAAGGGCCTCTTGACATCTTAAACAAATGGGAGAATCAATCATATTCTAGTGAAATCTCTACTCATTTGTCAAGAACTTGTTATGGGCAATTTTCTACAAAAAAGTAGTAATTCTAGGATGACCCTCCCACTTTCAGACTAGGTCAA